CGGATTTTCTCGACCCTTCCGTTACATAATTTTTTTCGTACACGTTGGGTTCTCCGTTGAGTTCCCGAGTTTTGCTTGTTAGCCGCGCCGAAACGAATCTCCGAGATCGATCAAGGATCCCGCGGTCCAGGAAAAATCCCAACGTCTTTTAAGATACGTCGGGAGGTGCGAGATGAATCGCGCCGAGGAGCAAAGGCCGCGACACGCGAAACACTTCACGACGCGACGGTTTGATGAGATCGCTGTTGAGGAACGCTGATTCACGCGCGAAACGTGCGTGCTCATCGATCGTCGATCGTCTGAAAATGGATATGTACATATGGTAATGGATACAGCTCGGAGGGATGTCCATAAATTGCGTACAAAGCATGCATTTGCGCAAAACGTACTTCACCGTGCGTACCGGACCTTTATTACTTAAGGATACTTTGAGTGCGGTCATATTTCGATCCCCGCGAATAAATCAGGCGTGTACACGTGCGAGAAAACGTGGAAACGGTCTTTGCGGCGAGGGATAAGGCTCGCAGTGATCGAAACCACCGCGAACCAGTGCTAATCAGCGTTATTACATAATAGGTATTACAGCTAAAAGTATTTATTAAAACTTGGGGAAAAAATTTTCTGAGAATTTCCCGACTTTTTAGACATTTTTATTTTAATTTTCAGGCAAAATTATAGCATTTTTAGTTACAAATTTTAAATAAATTTAATTATTTGATCTCTTCTTCTATTCTCATGATTATAGAAAAAATTGAATGTTAGATTTGAAAAAGTACCGAATAGAAGATTCTTCTAAAATAGACATTGTATAAAATTTCTCAGATTAAAAAATGCTTTTACACGAGAAAAAAGAATCTGTCATAAACATAAAAAAATCAATATAAATCAATGTTTAAATATCGAAAAGATTAAAACAAAACTTACCTAAACATGAAAAATTTTCAAAGTTTATAGCATTTTAATACTAAAAAAAATAGCACATTTATAATATAATAATAGCATTTTTGTATTTGACTTACAAAATAAAAGCAACTTCTTCGAAGAGAGTTGCGACAAAAATTTCAGTTGATACAATTTTTGGATAATTTCCCAGGCAGAAGAAAACTTTCTGAAAATTTCAGATTTGTTTTCCTAGTAATAAGCATCCTGTGTCATGTATCGAATTAATCGAGAAGTGTCGTATATATCGGATTAATCGATTAAAAAATAATACTTTTATATTTACAAAATAAAAATAAAATCTTCGAAGAAATAATTTAAACAAAATTTTCCCAAGTCTCGATACAATTTTCTGATAATTATTCAAATAGAAACGAATTAGACGTTCTGTGTCGTGTGTCGGATTAATCGAGGAGAACCCCGGTGACCTCATCCGCAAGCAATAAGCATCTGATAAACGAGGCAACGACGCGGTAGACACAGTTACTGCATAGCCGACTGACCTTCGTAATGATTCTCGCAATTTGGCTTAATCGAAACGCGGTGGAGTTCGTTCAAGGGTCACTGGCCGAGTCGGAATTCCGCGATATCACGACCGTCCCGCGACGATCGCTGAAAGCAGTTGGAAGCAATACCGCAGTTGAGAAAACAACTAATTTTCTGAGGATGGATGCGCTCGAGAATATGTACGTTTGAGATGTGTTGGCTATCGAAGTGAACGATCTCGCAACGGGCGCCGTGGTGTACCACACGAGGCAACGCAATTTATCGCGTCTCCGCGGGAGGAGACGAGGATGGTAGCCGAGGATGCGCCGGACAGGAATTCAATGTCAAAAATACCGTCACTCAGCGCTTCCCCGCTCGGGAAGCCGGCATCTCGGACCTTATATATCTTTATCTTATGTACTAGCCAGGAAGAGTGGTCGGGAATGCAGAGATGTAAATGAAATGGAAATCCCTTCTAGCGTGCTGAAATACCTGCGGAAAATCATGATTTGTAGACAAGGTAACGACGATCGCGAGAGAGTCCTTCCTGCAGACAGGGTCTCTCCAAGTTCCGTCTTATTATTGCAATCAGAAATTGCAAATAAAGTAAACTTGTTAAATTATGTTGCTTACAAAGAATTTGATACTACGAATTGAAGAAAATGAATTAAAATTAGGATGTGCAATAATTTGCGATTTTATTAGAAAGAATTAGAAAGAATCTTAGATTAGAAATTGTCATTTCTTGATGTCTAGAAAAATAGATCAGAAATTACGAAAGGCAAACCAAAATTGAAACAATTTAATTAACTTATCAGTCCATTATTCTGGCGAAGTAAAAAATATTTTTACACGCAGTATAAGACTTGAAAGAGACAGCCCAAAGAAACGAGCTATCTTTTACCAGCGAGAAAACATGAAAACGTGAACTTGAAGTATACTCGACGACCGGGATGACGAAGAGTAAGACCGAAGTGGTTGGTCTTCCTTTTGCCAGCCCGTATCGCGTGGGGCAGTGTCTTGCTATTGATGGCATGCGGCAGGAAAAAGGACCGGTCGGGATTGTGACTGGAGACACTGGGATCCGCCTCGCGCGCGCGATATCCTCCTCTTTCCCCCGCTCGACCGTAATAAAGCTGCTGCGGGATCCTCGGTTCGCCCGTTGCTAGGTGGGTGTGTGAAACGTAAACTCGGCGATCCGACGTCTCCCTGAGCTCTCTCGGGCCGATGCACCGCAGATTGCGAGTATCCTTGCTGAGGTCGAACGCTGCGATGCTCCGTCGAAGGTCGTTGCCTGCTCGATATACCCGGTGCTCGTCTAGGAATCCGCGCCGCTCGGTTGCCGCGAAAAAGTGACATTTAATAGAAAGGAAGCGAACTGATATTCGAAAAGCAATTATTGAAGAATGTTATCTTAATGATGATAAAGCAGGACATTTACATCTTATAAATCTTTGAATTATATCTCGAAGATACAAATCTTTTTATATCTTCGTTCGATTTTTCTCTGCGGCTTTAATAAACTTTCATTAATTTGATGCAGAACACGAGCGCCTGCACACTTGTAATATTGCCGATGTATCTGATGACCGTGGCATTTTTCACTTGCCGATATCCTTAATTATTCAGATCGCATAAATTTTATCAAAATCGGTTGAAAAATGCACGCACATCAATTTCCTATGCAAATATGTAGCAACGGCAATTTCCATGTCTCTACATAACAAAGACGAATTATGTACCGCACGGATGTGGCCTGTAGTTTGGAATATAGGAACAGTAGTTTCCAAGCAGAAAATTAATTCTACCGTACCATCATGTTTCCTATCGAATAGTCACCGTGCTCAAGTCGGAGACCTCCTTTCGACCCTCGAGGACGATCGGCCTCTAAGGACGATGATTATCCGTTCGATTACATTCATTGTCCGCGGAAATGGCAGGAAATTCTTCGATTACGGATTACTACCCTCGTTAATGACCATCGCTGGCCATTAATGACCGTTGTCGAGGCGACTACTGAAATCCGATCGGTGGTATCTGAAAAACGACTTGTTCGCGAAGGAACTTCAATCCCGGGATGCAGAAAGGCATCGTGAATCAATCACGATTGAAAACCGCGTCCAAGTGAGATACTTGCAAATCGTGACGGGAACCAGAGTGGAAATAGAATTTCGTTCGTCGAAAAAGGTATTGCGAGATGAGATATTGAATAACGACGGGAAGCTAATTATAATCGATCGAAAAGAACTTTCAGTCAGCGCGACATCCAGAGATAATGTAATTCCTACTTTTTGTGAAGGACAGGCAGCACAAGTGCATTTTTTAACGCTGTAACAGAGAGACCGATACCGGATGGAATAAAGATCGAAAAGAATATATAATTCTTATTCCGAGAAAAGAGTTCCCGTAAGGAAAATCCGGGAAGAAAGAACGTTTAAAATAGTGACGAGTACAGGTACCATTCCACGGGAGAGGAAACGGCGAGAGAGGGAATGTAAATTACGTGTAAAGTAAATATTCCCTTTCTCGGGTATCTCGGGCCAGCGAGACGGAATCAACGAGAGGAGAGAGAAGGAGCGCAGCGCCCGTTCGGTCCGGTTTTTGCTGGCAGGGTGCAAGGACAGGCGACGACGGTTGCTGTTGCTGCTGCACAGCAGCACTGAAAGTGGTCACAGAAACGTGGCCGCGTGCACTCGCGATTACTATATACTCCTTGAAACGATAGTAAAACGTGGGGTCCGGTCCGCGCGGATTGCGACACTCGTGGCACGGATACGCGGCGGTCGAACAATGACCGGTGCGGTGGTTCTCTCCACCTTAATTCGGCGTCGTTTCAGCGCTCATCGTGACTCGGCGAATTTATTTGTTCTCGGATAAAGACAAATTGATCGGCCCTGTAATAATGTATACACGTATATGCGTTACGTGTAACACTAAATAACAGGATGTCTTTTGTGGGATCTCACGTTTCTTTGTAAGCTACTGAACGGGGCCCCGCTCGTTCTGAAACCAAATTCAGTTGCTCGATCCACATTGTACTTCTTACGGAAGATTTAAATCAGTAATTGCGAATGAATATTTTTTTATTTAATATAGGCATTTTTCACTTGCCACTTAGCACTGCTTAAGTCTAAGTTAATTTGATATTTTTAATAATTATTATCTTTTTTTTGCTTTTTCAAAATCTTTTTTTTTTCTGTTTTCTCATTATAACTATGTTAAATAATGACATCAGAAGCTCTGAGGACATCAGTGTAATGTAGATCTTTTTCTTGCACTTTATGTTAAAAAAATTGATTTTTTATTACAATGGAGATTAGTCAAGTCTACCGAATATTTCCTCTTTAGACAATGTACCAAAAACTGTATATAAAAAAATAAATAGATAAATAAAAATAAGTGAGAATAAAAATATAAAGGTAGGATATAATACCGTTCCTCTCTTTCTCTCACGACATTTATCCTCGGGTTATGGCGATCGTAACGGAGAATTTAAAACCGACACTCACTCGGCTCTGTCGCCTTTGTTCCAGGAGGACGGTGGTATCGAGTACTTCAACACCATCGTGGTCCAGCCACACCTGAAGCTGGTCACGAACCAGGGCAGGGGTTTTCACGTGAGATGCAGATACCAGACGCGCGACAAAGTCGTAACGAACGATCAGACCCACGTGTCCATGATGCAGTCTCTGCCGTTGCAGGTAATGAAGCGTTCGACTGATAATGGGATATGAGAAATCTTTCTGGAAAATTAATATTAGACTTCGTCAATCGATTAAAACATTAATACGTGAAATTACGCCGATGATCTTCGCAGTTTATTTGCGAAGACACGTGTTATTCGTCTATACGTATATACTTATTGACTTTCGGATAAGCGAATGTCGAAGAGGTTTTGAAGTGCAAAAGTAAGCCGTCGTGAAATATTTAAACCGCAAACTGCCCGCAGGCGACCGCGCCAATGCCGGGATGCACGATGAAGATCTTCAGTGGCGATCCAACGCAGCATCACGTGGCGGAGAATGTGAAGATCGGCGATCCCTTGACCCTGGTCATTAGCATCGACAAACAAGAGATGTTCGGCTTGAAGATCTCCGACTGCCTGGTACGCGACGGCCTCGGGTGGGGCGAGCAACGGCTCATAAACGACGAGGGGTAAGTTAATTCGTGATGAAAAATCCTTAGGAAAATTTTAGTAAACAAAGAGACAAGAATAGTAGCGATAAACGAGGCGAATCGTTTCCGACTCCTTCCTTTCACGATGAGATCACTCGGCTTCGTCTCTGTTCGCAGTTGTCCGGTCGACGGCGAGATAATGGGACAGTTCACCTACAACGAGGACAAAACGGAGGCCAGGGTGAACTTCCAGGCGCACAAGTTCCCGTACACGGCGAGCGTGTATTATCAGTGCAACGTTAGGCTGTGCGTCAAGCATGGCGGAGGATGCAGTAATACGGTACCGCCGTTATTATTATGATACACGAGCGCTAGCTAGCTTGAATAATGATCCCGCGAGGACTACCAAGTACTACGTTTATAATAATCCTTTAACGATTTTATAATGGCTACCTATCGTTCGAAATTATCGGGGTATCCACCTCGCTGGCACACTATTATCCGATTGAACTTGCTCACGTAGTATGTTATACAAACGCACGCGAGGTGTTATGTAATATTTGACCCTGAGAAGGAAGACCCCGAGTTCCACACCAGCCGTTTCTCGAAGACTCGCGCCGCGGAATATTCATCGCTTATTTTCCGCTTGCAGCCGCCGTTGTGCAATTCGATAGCCAGACGACGTAGGGATACCGCAAATGAGGACGAGGTGAAGGGTGTCGAAGGCCTAGACGGCACCCCGGCAACGATCGAGGTTTATAGTGGTCTTTACGTCAACGAGGCCTCAGACGTTGGCTCCAAGTCGGACTTCTCCGACGACGTCTTCCGAGAAAGGGTAATTCGAATTTAATTGATATCCGCTGCGGAGGCAAAATTAATAACTTTGAATCGCGAAATGATTTATTAGACTCTGACGTATTTTCAAATATTAATCCAATAAGCGAGATTTTAACGGTACTAGTAGTTTATTTGGCCATCTAGGAACTTGAATAACAGAATTTCTAAATAAAATGAAACCAAACTCGTTTCATTTCATTATTTTCCGGATTTTTCTTTCAGGCACTTGACGACCCAAACACTATTTGCATATCGCAGAGGAGCTTCGCTATCGGGATTGCCGTCGCCGGTCTCATCCTCATGCTGGCGGTGGTAGCTGCCATCCTGGTACTGCTCGCCAAGAGACGGCACAAGAGCGTATCCACGACGGGATCGTCCATCTACAGTGGACCGTACACGAATACCGCTTACAGCCACAGTAGCTAAGCCCGCCTCGTTCGGCGCGAGATTGAGATACCCGAGACACCCCGACCTGGAAGATACCCGCGTTCCGCCGGCTTCTTTCCCTCCGTAGCGACGCGGGATCTCGGGCGGGCCAATCAGGCGGGTCTTCTCGGGCAGGCTCGATCGAACGAAGATTAATTTAGATTTTAATTGCTTTCGACGCGAGGTCGATTCTGAGGCGACGATCGAAGCCACCGCGCGCCCGAGGTTCGACAGAGCGAAACGAACGAAACGCGGATCTCTTGCTCAACTATTGACGTACTGTTGTACCCCTTTCGACGCTTCGCACGACGGCCTCGGCGATGTTTCAAGGTATTTAGGGAACTGACGATATAGTTCGATCCTGGATATCAATCTCCTATCTCTTCCTCCCTCTCCTTTCGAACGGAAAAGTTTTACAGCGGTTTTTATAATTCATAAAGTTGAATTTATAACGAAGAATTCACGTCCAGTTTCAGTGGTGCAATATTTGAATTAGATAAAAATAAAAAGAACAAATCGAAAGGTATAAAATTTCTCGTGTAATAAAAATTATAGCACGTTGCAAGCAATATCGTAGAATAAATTACATAATTAGATTCTTATAAAAAAAGAAAGATGCACTTTATATACATCGGTGCTTTCTGTGCGCATTATTAAGACCTATCTCGAACAAGATAACTTCGAGAACAATCCGTCCAATTTGCTACTTCAGTCGTGATTGAAGTAATAACTATTCCGTCCAAGCTATATATATATTAGCGAAACCCTTACTATTTGCTCCGATCGCGAACGTCTAACGAATCGACATGGCTCATTCCGTCGAGAGTTGCATCATTCTAATATATATTATATATCTAATATACTATGCTGTACACTAGTCCGGTATACACTGTCCTACCTAACACATATCTATCGCACTAAACACACAGTCGCGCGTACGCGAAAACATCAAGTCGCGGTTGTCTCTCGACGATTTAACACGATTGTCGCGCGCAAACTCACTCTTAACTAGATTTAAGTCTAAGTCAACGCTACGCGTGAACTTCTCAAATAACTCAATCAAATACTCCGGTGATCCCCGCGTGCGATCGTTGATGTTTCCGACGCCGATATCTTTGCGCTTTTCTCTAATACGGTTTCCAACTTGAAACCTTTCTTCGAATGAAAAACGAATCGACATGCGTGCGTGCGAACACTTTAAATCATTCACACACACGACGTAATACGCATAGAGAACAATCCAGCGTTTTCGAAAATCGCAAAAACGCAGCAGATTGTTACAACTCATATTTTTAGTTCTTCTTGACTAGATAAATCAATAGCAATGACGGCTTGCTAATTGCATTATGTACAACTTGCTGCAAATGTATCAGCGGCAACGGCTCAACTCTGAAAGCGTAATCGGAAATGCATCTGCGATGAAGCTTAAAGAAAATTGTAAAAGGACGCAACCAAGATCTAATACGATGTGTGCATGTGTCGGTTATTATAAGCTTCCGATAAAGCTGCGTGTGAACGGATCATCGCCCGTCGTAAAGACGCAAAGTAATCATAATTAACTGCTGTAGAAACAAGTCAATTAAAAATCCCCAGATCACCTACCCCTCCATATAAATTATTCCGACGTCTACGACCATGCGATACTCGAATGAATGCGACGTGTGCGAGCGCTCAGTATATTCAGATTGTAATTCACTTATAACGCTTAAACATTAATGTTAATTAGTCTAATTGAGACGAGGCACTGCTCCAACGTCGGTATCTCCCGGATTGTTCGAGAGTGATTGTTCACGAAGCAAGTAACATCCAATGTTCTCTTAACGATAGATGCGCGCTTCGAACGGTTCCAATCCGAATCCGGCTTATCCGGATTTAATTAAAAACGTGGGAAAATGTAGCAGGGACGCCAGGAATACCGACGTCGCGGCAGCTCGGGGCGTTTAGATATTAATTGACGAAGACAAGGGAGCTCTACTGCCAACGCAGTCGCGTAACTGGGTCCAACGTGGTGGTGGGTACATGACATGTAAAATTTTACATTTAGAGAGAAACCAACACCCGTAACGTAACTCGTTAACTTCTCGTCAAGCGCTAATATGCTACCGTGCAGGAACGGTGTGTTGTGGTATAGTAGTTCTCTGGAAATGACAATGTATATTGCGACAGCTGTTCCGAATGGACCCTGACGTGTCGAATAAAACGCAACGCTAACACGCTTTAACAAAAGCGGATGAGGCCCTGGCCGGTCTAAAAGCTGTCTACAGTGATGGGCGTTAAATCCTCCTTTTGAAAGTTTTCAATCACATGATATTGAGTTGCTTTGAATATTCGTGATTGGAAATTTTTGAATAGTAAATGTCCGCAAATCTGCCCTTAAAAACATTTGAACATTTGAAACATTTAGATCCTTTAAAAATAAGATTGTTATGTCTATGAAAGTGTCATGGATTGAAATAATAAGGTATTGCAAAACAAAGTAATGCATTCAAGATATTCAGGGATCTTTTGGTTTTGAATAATGTTCGAATTTTCGTTACATATTGTAAATGATTGAGCCCATCGTCATCCGTTTTATGTGCGCATAAACAGCTGTATGCAAAGCGTCGTTAAAAGGTGTCTTAAAAATCGCTACATAGCAGAAAATTATAGATTTTAACAAACGACACGTAGTAGATGCGTTTCCCAGCGTTTTCTCGAGTCTCTCGCGTGCGTAGGTGCGGGCCTTCGGATGATACGCACGAATTTACGTTTACTCAAAGGCAGGATACTATTATTTCCATTTGTACCATAACGAAGTACGATAACACGGTAAAATGGCTTCCAGTCCTTCTAGTACTATCCCTCTCGAAAAGTGCAATAACTTCGAAGCGTCCCGTGGGTCCCGCGGAATTTCTGTCGAGGGTTGGAATCGCTCGGCGAACGGATCGCGCGTGATCCCTCGCCGCGCCATGGCACTGGTTCATAGCGATCATTGGGGATGAAAAATACCTGTATAAAATTTCTTTTTTTCTCGCGTTACAAGGTAACGCGGGGTCCCGATACTCCCGCAATGTTCCTCTGGACCCTTGTCAAAAGAATCTACAACGAATCTGTGTAAATAACGAAAAACCTAATAAAACTGGTAATTGTAAGACGGCGTTCTCTCAATGTCCCTTCGTCGATCATCCTGATGCGATACTCCTGGGTGAGTCCTACCGGTAGTCTAATAGATTACGATTAGGTAATTAGGTAAACTCTGGAATGGGGAACAGGTGTGTCTCTCGAACGTCACAAAATAATCGACGCAAGCTGGCAAATTATCAAACGAGAGTGTCTTCTTTTTTTATTGAATTATATATATAATTCGTTTTTGGAAAATATGATATAATATATATATAATATATATATGTATATAATATAACAAGAAATATAATTAGACTGACATGACTTCTATATCAAATTTCTTTCCGGCTCTCTATGATGTTGTGCATTTCGGATGAGTATAATATAGCTCTTTTTTTATTAACGCCACAGAATTGTCAATTGCTTCGCCTTTTCCCTTCTCTCGTTGCTCCTCTCGTTACCCTAGATTATATTTATACACAGATAATTCAGGTCGATTTTTTCCTCTCCTCGTTAACCATCCTCTCTTCAACACTTCTCTTTATCCCGTTCTCTTAATTAAGATTACACGTAAGCTCAACGCGCTTGTAGCTCTCCCCATGCAGCCGAAAAAAAATCAGTGGACATGTCCGAAATATCCGCTCGTTTTTTTCACCGGAGATCCTAACTTTGTAATAAATATAAATTATATATTTATATCTCTTCCTGAATACTTGTACGCATTGTGTTATGCATGACCCGATGACCGACAATCGGAGAAGTGGCGAGTGAGCGCGAGTCGTCGCTCTTTGTCGCAAGTAGGACTAGCAAAACGGGAGAGAACGCGATCACGGTGAGGTACGTTGCCTATAAGCGCGGAGGCACAGCCACTGTGATTTAATCCCTACGATACCGATACGCCACGTCGGGGGGATGCGCAAAAAATATATATGTATATATCGGTACACACTCGCAACTTGTCCGTGTTTAGCCGAGTGACTTTCAGGACCGGTCTCATCGGCGTCGTTTAGGCGCGATCGGCTGAATCTTTCATCTCCTCACCTGTACCGTGACTGAAATTAAGGTAGTTCATCCGTAAACACATTTTCTTAGGAATTCTGTAAAATTTGAACGGTGTATCAATGTCAACACGATTTACACGCATGTGCAACTAGAAAAAGATTGACTGTACCGAAGTTGAAATAATAAAAGTCGAAGCTAGCACTTTTTACACGTATCACGCAGATACGAAACTGCTCTTACGAATTTAATCAAAAAAACAAGAAGACGATAAAAGAGATTTGTGTAAAAATATTCTTATAAAAATACAAGACCTTTGACCGTCTAGTTTTTCATATTTCCAAAGTTTAGCACGGATTCGTCGGACTTTTTCGTATTATATTAATCATACTTACTTTTTTACGGTATTGTCACAGATGAACTACCTTAAACCAATGTTAACGTTTGCGATTTTGCAATTGTGAAAATCCATTTCTATATCATCGCCGTCCTCCAATTGCTCAATTTGAACAGTAGATTCGAATCAAAATAATAAATGAAAAACATTTTGAAATTCTGAATATTGCTGTCGGCCACGCGGAAAACAACCAAGTGTCAAATCAACACTGATATACTTAATATACGCAACAATATACAACCTTCTTATAAGAATTTCAACTTTTCATTTCAACTTTTTTTTTCTTGATTGAACTATATAAAATGACTTCATTCAAGCAAGTTTTCTTCGTTTAACGCAATATAATCTCATTTCAAGATTTATGGAGTGTTGCGTACACATATACGAGTATATAAGTGTTCATTTGACACTTCTTTTTTTTCTGTAGTATTATCTGCATCGCGATCCCATGTATAATTGCAGAACATGAAAGATTCGTTCGCCAATCTATTTGCGGGGGACTAATTGACCTTCCGACGCGACCGGCCTTGTAAAGTGTCGTGTCGTGTTCACCGTGATTCTCGCTCGCTCTGCGGTCTAAACGTAAGCAACGGTAGTAAAAAGATAAACGACTTAACGGCAAGATACGTCGCTTCCTGTAACGCTAAGATAATTCCATCTCCACGTCGTTCTTATATCGTGAAGCAGCGAAAAAACGCAGGGTGTTCTCGCTACTTCTCGCAAAGCCGTCTCTACCGTATTATACAACAAATGAAGAAACAAACAATTTTCCGCACGACTTGTTACGCAGAACAACGATTCGGTTTATCATTAAAGGGACGCTCAAATCAACGGAAGGATTCCGCCAAACGGTCAGGAGAGAGAAAGAGAGAGAGAGATGACGTTCTTTCGTGCGAGAGTCGATGTTACAGCTCGCGTGTAAACCCTTTCATTTAGATCGCGATCGTTCCTTCTGCTCTCTTCCCGTCCTGTCTTCCACCGATTTATTGCTCGCCGTTGTCAATCATCTTACGTCGCATTACAAAAATAGTAGGAAACGAATGTGTGAGGTCTCGCAAGCTTATATTACCCGTTCTCTTTAAGAATTGTTCGTAATCGGTGCGATTGGGAGGTTGACTGAGTCCTGGGACTGTCCGCGTTTCTTTTTTTTTCCCCGTCTCTTCGTTGAATCTATAGAATGCACGAAGGGGAAATTACAAAAGTCACTCGAGAGCGGTGATAATGAAAGGTTCGTCACACTTGCTGTGCATGCGGTAACTCAATCCCTCTTTTCAGATAAAAATCCAAGATGAATATTCCTTGAGAATAATACACGTCGATAGTAAAAATGCGATGCGACAAACTTGAAGATAGTCGCGAAAATCTCTCTTTCGTCACATCCAGCATAACGAAATAATATCAAATATAAATACAACGATAATAATCTCATGCAGACATTCTTTAAATAAGAATAAATTCTTTGAAATAAAAAATTTCGAGTGCGATGACGCGACGCCGAACAGGTTTATCGAATTCGCGGTAAAGCGTTAAAACGAAACGAGGAGACGAGTAAACGCGGCATCGTTCGCTCGATCGTTACGTGACTTTTTTTGGTTCGCCGAACTCCATCGGAAAGGAGAGAAGCCACAGCCTCGACGAATGTAACGTCCCACACGACGTTGTCCGCACCCTGACACAATTCCTCCTTTCGTTTCTCCTCTCTCCTCCATGCCTCCCCCGGGTCCCTCGCGCGTTAGAGATACTCGGTAGATCACATGAATTGAACGCCTACGAAATATATGGTGCCGCGAGGTGTCGGACGATTACTTGATGGCGATCACCGCGTTCGACGGTCGATGAGTTCTTTCAACGTTGTATCTCCTCTCACCCCTACCGTCATTATTATCTTAAAGAGATGCGTGAACTGCTTTTCTGCTTAATAGGTATAATTATGCTTCTGTTTTTTTTTCTTTAACTCACTACGACGACATTAGGTACAGTTTAATACTATGGTTGTGCGCCCATCTCTTTACGAATCGAAGTGCGTCTTGGTGCCTACATCTTTTTACATCCGCTCGAGTCTCTCGTCTTTTTTTTCTCTTTTCAGCCTATAACAAGATTAAAACTTTTGTCACATTTTCTCACGAAGAAAAAGTAGCGGTCACACGTTTCGCGTTTAACGGCTAAATAACATTTATATCGCATGCTCTTTCTCGCATTATTTGAAACGTCATAAAGAGATAGGCACACCTTCACCTACGTTTCTGAAGTACAATCACCGTAAGCGAAGCTTCTGGATGGATTCCACTTGGTTTTCTTTGTGTGTCGCGGAGCAACGCGGGCATCCCTCGCGATCGCGATCTACACTACGAGGTAACGATTAACGATCGATTGCTACTTTTTCTTTTGGCGACTACTCTACTTGTTTTTGCGAGAGTGCGTAATAGTCTAGTCGCGCGAGACCAGCCCGCGCCGCTCCGCCTAGTTTTTCACAGACGGAGACGTTATTAATTACCGCGACCGCGTGTCACCATCACCTCCTACCGGTATAGTACATATACATATATATCGCGTATGTCTCTATTTCGTTGGAACGAGTGTGCGAGAAAAATAACATCTGTCGTGTGATATATATCTATATATATGTATGTATATATGTACGTAAATACATCTGGAGCTTGTGATTTTATATATATATTATTAAATGTTAATGACATAAATTTATACAATTTATGTATATATATATATATTTATATATAAAATATCACATATGCAACAGATGTAGGTACTCTATGTACAACATACGTACATATAAGCACACATATGACACACACGCATACACTCATACACACATTCACACACATGCACACGTGCGCGCGCGAAAATAATAAAGAGATTTTTCCGCGAAATTCATGAAGCGTGCTCGCATACTGGAAGACAAATCATAGTGATACAAAAGAACAACTTAACTTATTCCGAACTTTCGAGACTGAAGAATGATTACAAAACAGACGAAATCGCCGACAGTGATCCGTGATCGGTGTCAAACGCAAGAGAAATTATCTGTTATCGCAAAAGTAAGAGTACGGTAGTTTCGGACCTTCTTTCTCTGCAAGTACAAAGCGCGGATGGTGAATTCAGAGGCTGTGATGGCTTCACGCTACTTAACTACTGCTTCAAACTAGACATAAAGATTATGTACTGAATACGTTTACATATTTATAGTCAATGACACCACACTTAACCGTGAATTGTGACTGATTAGAGACATAACTAGTTGAACATCGTAGAATGTCGCGAAAGTGTAAAATGTTAGATTTCGTATCTTTTCGGGGTGATTATCATTTTGTTTTCCCTTGCAAAGTCGATACATGTATAGCGTTTTGTAAAACACAATAAAAATTTTCAAGATACAAGAAAATGAGTGAGAGTGAGAGTGAGAAAGAGAGAGAGAGAGAGAGAGAGAGAGAGAGAGAAAGAGAGAGTATACGCTTGTAGAAATTATATGTAAACGTTTTTGCGAAGAGTGTAAGAAGTTCTCGTTATTCACGTACAATAAATACGTGTTAGAGGAAAGCGTAAGGGCTGGCATCGTCAACGCGCGGCCAACTTTTAGAATTTTCATAGATATTACGCTGAGGTAGCAGACAACTCGTTCAAAAAATGGACTCGGAATGGGCAGCGACGTTAACGCAACATTCGTTGACCGATGCGATGGCAGCGAGTGTATCAAAATTAGCGGATAAGATAGACAATGGAACGTCCTTTTTGGATCGCCACTAACGCTATGCCGAAAGACTCGCGCGCCTTGTAAACGTACTCAGTAAAAGTTTACTCTTTCTTTTTTTTTTTTTCGTTTTTCCCCGCACATTAGTTTAATCGTCATACATGTTCTCCCGGCGGTCGGAAATCACCGCGGCGACCACCTCGAGAAATTCGTGTGTTTATTTGACCTTAACAATAATACTCCTTAAAAGTAAATCTCACATTCATATAGTATCTGTAAAACCGCAGTTAAAATATCTTCAAGTATTACATATGTATATGTATGTATATACACACACATACACACATATGCATATATATACACACACACTACAATAATATTGTAATAGTAATTAAAATTTTGTCCAGTAACTCTCTCTATTCGGTGCACCACTGATCCGCTCGTTTCTTACGTCTGGGCACATACTCGTGACCACGGTTTGTCTTTCTTCTCCTCGTCTCGCGCTCTTGCATTGTCATGGTGATTCAGTTGTACTGTGAATTCAGTGCGATTGAAAGTCTCTCGAGTAAAGGTTAAATTTCATCTTTTGCGTTATCCCCTGCTTTCCTCCGAAAAAAACAACCAATTCGCATAACAGTATGCTAGTCTTTTTCTCACTTTGAGAAAATGTACGTGCACGCGTGTATTCTTCTAATAACGTCTCTCTTGCTTCTCTTTAAATAGATATTCAGGGTAATAATTAATATGGCATGTTAGGAATACGTGTCTCTCTGAACAGTAAAGTAAGCTGCCAATCTCGATTGCTGTTCATAATCGAAACTGTGACTCGCATTATTAGCGATGTTATCCAGTTATCCTGCCGATCCGTTTGCTCAAAATACCTGATTCCGACGGGTGATGGTCACCTTCACCGTTCCTGGAAAGAAACGTCATCTCTGAGGACGGAATAGAAGTCATTATTCCCCCCCGACATGTAATACGAGTGAGTTAGTCTGAAGCAAATAAATGGATGTCATTAAGGCAAAGAATATATAGATATGTCAACTGTAATTGATTAAAAGAAGCTTCATACATAAAAGCAAAATATGTTTCCTAAGAAAGAATGATTCATACAACGAATTGCAGCCACGCGTGGTCATAGTTGACGTGAAAAAGAGTGAGAACAACAATGTGTTCCCCAACATCAACTTGACGAAGTCGATTAAATGATATTATCTGTATCTTGTCAATTCGAGTGCGATAAGCATGAAAAATGTATGGTAGGTGTAATGTAAAAAAAGTTAGAAAAAAGTGCGCAAAGAACACATTCAGTGTCATCATCATGACGAAATGTCTACAAGGAAACATTTCAGAACCGTTTCTTCTCAATTTTCGAGTGGACAACATCGAGAAATATGCATTTTTATAAAAGTGAAAGAATTAACATCGTTATGCGAAAACAGTTTTGAACGTTTCCTTATCAGTCAAGAATATTATCCCGTGCGCCTTACTGTTTAAGCGTACGGTGCAACAATAAAATACATGTGCAATGAAAAGATATCTTTCCTACTTTCTTCCGTAAGAAAGCTTTTAGCTTTTAGTTTTTCGCACAACCTTTAAACGAATTTATATTCATGGCAAAACGTTAACCGTAACAATAAGAGCTCTAGAGGACCGTAATTGGCTCGAGAGACAGTCACTTATAAATCTATGGAAGTAGGAATCACTTTCCAGCACGTTATCATAAAAAACCGAAAAAACGACAAATACCAATAAAGATGAATCAACGCACGTGAAGAAGCCTCTATCGTACAAAGAAGACACTGTGTTCTGTGTAGTATTTTATACTTAAGTTCTGTACCTTATATCATACTGTCTTCCACAGGTTTCGCTTTTAAAGGAAGACAAGAATGTGTCAAAATCGTGTTTATACTTTATTTACTTCGTAAGCAAAATGAAAGCAGAAAATAACTAAATCTTAAGCAACGTACTGAGCGCGAACATCGAATTTCTCTCTCTCCCTCTCTCGCTCTTTCTCTCTATGCTTGTTGCCAACTTTTCATACCTTCTCTGATGTCTTTGGGTACGTTTGATGAGAGCGATGACATGGAAGGTGCCTGATAGAAATTGGGTCGTGCGCCGCTCGGTGGCAAAGATGTTACTTTGGACCTGAAATCAATTGTACAAGCGTATAAATTCACCGAGAAACAGAAAATAATGTTTATCAAGAACACACAGAAATCACGAAAGATCCAAGATTACCTCTGTTTGCGAATTTTCTGATTTCTACCATCGAAGGAAGTCGGCGTACCGGCCCCCGAGGTGTTAGACGAAGGCGGCCTGTACGGCCGCGGGCAACCTTGAACAACAGGCGGTGATGATATTGGTGCATACTGCAACCGGGGGTTGGGTGGTACGCCTGGATGCATCAATCTCATGTCCCCTGCAGCGTTTAACGATATTTCAACGATCGTTTAAAATACGATTTAACATACGCTGCATTTATAAGTATCACCTTGCACGATATGGACACCCTGATACATTGGCAGTGGGTAACGTGGTTGAGATTGTGCGCTTCGATCCCCGCTCCCACCTCCAAAGAACTCGTGCGCTGGAGTTGGAGACCGACTAGCTCTTTGGGAGTTACCTGGCGTTGTCGCCCGCACGCTGGGAACGACCTATTTAAAAAAAAACATTTTCTGTTATCCCGTAACATAACAAGTAGTCGACGGGTCGTTACTATCGCATTCTCACAGGAACGTTTTGTCTGAAGACGAGATTGGAAACCAGCGTGGGCGTCATGTATGCGCTAGGCGGCGCCGGAGACGTGCCGTTGTGGGTGACCTGGTGTCCGAACGCTCCACCAGTCACCATTGTTGGAGCTGCGTAGCTGTTCGAGTTGACGTACATCAACGGCATACCAGGTATCTATTAATTACATCATATACAATACATTAGCTTTTTAATATTATATAATTTTATGCATTGAGTAATAATAGATTAACAATTACCTGACTAGACGTCGGCGTGTTCGGTGGCGTGGGTACTCTGTACATCACAGGCGGCGGTTGCATCGCTGGCTGCCCCGGCGGATAGTACGTAGGAACCATTTGGACCGGAGGTTGATACGTATAGTCGCCAGGCGTCGGAGTCACTGCCGGCACCGAATTGAAAGGTACCGGGTAACTGCCGACGTAATTAGCTGAAACATGCAACGTTAATTATTGACAGATATATCGCAGAGAGAAACAAAGAGATGGTAATATAACGTTCGCGTTCGATACAACGTACAACTTGCTTGGCTCGGAGGAGTCATCGTTTGCGCGTTGAACGAGTAATTCGTTGGAAACCTTTGCTGCTGATGTAGCTGCTGCCTGTCCCCCGGATTCTGACCGACGGAGAGTGCCGTTCCAGGAGGAGGCACGAAGTACATGGTCTGTTGGGGCTAAAAGGAGTCATTTTTCAGAAACGTACAAACGACAATCGGAGAGTGCGAACCGCGTAATATGTTCTTCTTTCGTACCGGTATTTGATTCGGCGGCGGCTGCCAATAATTCGGCTGTATCGACTGCACGTTCTGCACAGTCTGATTCGCGGAGGGCGGCGGTGGCGGATACGTGGAATGCGGAGGCGTGGGGTGGCTGTCCCCACTACCACGCTGATCGTAAATGTTCATCCCCAAGAAATATCCGGACAACTCGGCCATATCCTAAACATCGGTTACATTATTATAATTGAATTATTTGAGAAGCGACTATATATGACACTTTTTACAAGTTTATTTAATTGTACGATTGTTTATATCATGATGAATCACTTGCACAGATAATTATTAAATTAGATAGATTAATTAAATTAGATTATTAAATTCGTTAGTCGGAGGTAGAGAAGCACTTGAATAGATATAAAATCTAATTTGATGAAACATGTGAATAGATATAAAATCTAATTTGATGAAACATGAGATTTTATTAAATTAAAACAGATTAGGTAAAATAAAGTGAGATAAAGTTAAGTTTGCGTATTAAGGTAGCACGTTTGATGTTTATCTGTTACCTTTGGCTGGCGAGTTTAACTTATTTTGATATGTTCACATTCTCGGTCAATTTAACATTATTACAAGAGAGTTCTCACTTCCCCGATACACTTACCCCTGACTGTGGTATTGGTCCTTGGTGCATAGGTACCGCGTAATTAGTGTAGACCTGATTCTGGTTGAAGACAACGTCCCCCTGACCACCGTTTTGCATGCTCGCTTGACCCTGAGTCGGATGAGGCGCCATCATCACAGTCGGTTGCCCCATGGGGGGCGGATAGACACCCTGATTATACGGTTCTGAGGTAGGTACGTAGGTCGCGTACGGTTGTTGAGCTGTTTGGTTAGTATGACTAAACATCGGTAGTGTCGGTGACGATTTGACTAGACTTTGCTGCTGCGGCTGCGTCTGCTGCTGTTGCTGCGGCTGCGATTGCTGTTGCTGCACTTGCTGTTGCTGCGCTTGCTGTTGCTGCGCTTGCTGTTGCTGCGCTTGCTGTTGATGCGCTTGCTGTTGATGCGCTTGCTGTTGCTGCGCTTGCTGTTGATGCGCTTGCTGTTGATGCGCTTGCTGCTGTTGCGGAATGGGTAGATTTTGCGGGGCAGAAGTAGGAGGTGGAGGTGGTGGCGGTGGCGGCGGAGTGAATGGCAGGCTCGGCGATGTCGCTGTGTTCGTTACTTGGGCCCCGGAAGTCGCCCCCGTGACGTTGATCCTCGATTGTGGCGATCTCTGTTTTCTGCCGTCGTTTTTGTAGTTGCCATTCGTCGTTCTGGACGGCTCGGAAGGCAATTCCGTGTGTTGGTGCTGATGCTGATGATGATGATGATGATGATGCTGCTTGTTAGCTGCGGATAGCGTCGCGCTGCTATTCTCGTTCTCCATAGTGAAGAATTTTGGCGGATTGTCCGGGTCGTAGCGGTAAATCGTGCCATCCGGATTCGTATATGGCTGATTGGTCTGCGGGTTTATTATTATGCTACCAGGTGGGACGCTGGACAAACTGGTGACTGCCCACATGACCGTTTGGCCGCCGCCCGACTCCGGCGAGATTAAATCCTGACTAGATACTTGAGTATGGCTGCACGTCATGGGGGCCGGCACGGGGGAGGGTGACAGAGATGGTGATATCGTTGCATCGCTGCGCTGACTCTGCGATTTGTAGCCACTGCTCGAGCGGCTCGGGCTCAAGCGTGAACACATACTCGCCCCCGAATCTACGACACATTTTCAACGTGATATTAGGATAAAGAGAGCAAAGGCACAATGATGCAGCAAAATATTGCTATACAACATACTGCATTAAAATCTTTTCATTGTGATTTTAATCACAACATCGTGTGGAATTACGAATAATAACTACCTTGCTTCATGAGGCGAGCTCCCGCGCTATGTGTGGACGTGACACTGTCCCCCCTCGACAGCATGCTTTTGGTGTATCCACCGAAACTGAATGACTTAGAAACGGACGGGCGCAACACCGCGCCGCGGAACGAATCCCTTCCGTCAAAAGATTCGCCCTTCAGTAATCGATTTGGCCTGCAGATGCATAAATAAACTGTATTCTAAGGCAATGATAGTATCGGCGGAGCAATATATTCGATTAATATTTTATAATTATTGTCACGCGCGGTAATCATTAGAAGATCCAGATGCGATTTACCTGACTAGGTGATCCGGGTGTAGCAAGCGAAATCTTGCCGAGGCATCCGAGCTTTCCGTCGAGGACCACGGCCAAGATGTGACTTCGCTGCTCTCGCCGCTGCTGTCCTTGAATATCCTCCGTCTTGCGCGCTCGTATTCCTCCTCCCGCTCTTCGAAGCTCTTGCTGCGCCGGCAGCAATCGCCCGACAGTCTGTCAGGCGATTTGAAATTGAAGCTATCCTCGAACGAGCTCGAATCCCGTTTCAGGATGCTTCTTCGCGGCTCCTCCGATAGAATCAGATCGTCCCTGATGTGCTCCTTGAAGCGAGTGTCCGGTATTCGCATGTTCTTCGTCCGCGTGACAATGACGCTCAGACCCGACTGATCCACGTTGTGCTCCATCCCGAAGTAAGCTGCCACTCGATGCACTAGCATCCTGTTGTACGACGACATGTTCGGGAACTTGTGAGAGACCTTCTGTCGATCCTTCGCGAACTCGATTAAATCCTTCTCAATCTTCAGCAACACTGTGCGATCTTTCTGATTGCGATTTATAGTCTCCGCAATAAACTGCTCGAGATCTATCCCGGTGCTGTCCGTGTACAGCTCCGTGCTACTATCTGTAAAGATAGAACTTGGTATAACAGACTGTGATATAAGAATCGAAAACAGAATTTCACGCGCGATTGTTTAGGAATGTAGGATATCTCGATAAGAAAACAGTTGTCTGTCGAGCAAGAGATCCGGGTTCGATTCCCGGTCCCACACAATCCCGAATATTTAAATAAAATTATTTCACTGTTATATTCCTTCACAAATTGAAGATTACAATTTTCAAAAATATAAACAGGCCAAGGTTATTTGAGTTTGGAGATTATTGACACATATTGAAGAAAAATCTGTGAAGGAGAGGAAGGATTAGAGTCAATTACGAAAAATTTCTAATGGAGAAAAAACATTGAAATATCAGATTCAACTGGAATATCACCATCATTATGAGGTTGAAAAAGATATTTAAGACAACGAATTATGAAAATTATTACTTTATATATTGAGACATACTAAATCTTTCATGGATTCCGATCAATACGTGTACTGTAAGCTTGTATAATGAAAATGGATTAAGGAAAAAGGTGAAGAGCGCATTGTTTGAGCAACGTACCGCGCGAGAGACATGGTGACGCGCTGTCGTAACTGCCCTGAGACGAATTCTGATGTCTCAGCTTGTGCCTAGATCCGGGCCTGCTAACTGACAGCGTGTTGCCGCATTGTGCCGAACACTGATTGTTACAGATGTTCAACGTGTTCGGCCTTCGTTGCTCGGATCTATGCTGATTATTCTGACCGCACGGAGCAAGATTGGTGCTCTTTGGCGAATGTTGCAACGCTTGGCCGGATCTGGTGGGTGATATCGGAGTCTGTAGTAGACCTGGCCGTTCATTCTGATTGTTCTTCACACAGTTATTGCATTTCTCAATGATATTCGCGCTAGCGAATTTGGAGCGATGGTTCTCCAATTTATTGCTATTGGTCGGAGAAGTGATGCTCTTTGGTGAGTGTACCTGAGAGGGACTAGATTGACCTGCGCGGCAAAGTCTCAGGGTTAAAATTTTTTTACCTTTGAAGCACAGCGGAGGGAGAAAAGGGAAAATTGCGCTTACCATTTCGCGACGGTGTCCGACAGGTCGGCGAGGTCGCTGTGTTGCGCATTTGCTTGGGAGGTTGAGCGGAACAAAGATTGCTGTTGTACATGGACTCGTTATTGTTGAGCTTGGCACCGGTGGAGTTGGGCGAGAGGCTACAAACGATCTTCTTCTCGCCATCCGCCGATTGCGGACTGTGCGGCGACGGTGGACCGTTGCCGTGCGGTTCCCGCGGTGGGGACGTCGATTCTCTCATGGCATGGCTTCTGACTAACAGCTTCAGTTTCGTGTTCGTCTGCAACATCAAGAATCCTTTACGCACGTTCGACGCGTCGTCGTAATATCGATTCGTCGATGTAGCACTTTCAATTCGCGTTTACAATTCGATATTCACATTACAGACGTATAAATAAAAAGAAAATAAATATATTTTTCTATGTTAACTTATACGAAACATTTATAAGAACATCAACTTCAACATCTGCATATCTTCTAAACGATCGCTAGCTTGACACGACTCCTTCCAAATGTACCTTGAAGTTTCTAACGAGGGCGAGCGAAATGAGGAGGGACAATGAGTAATGGAACACATACCCGATTGCGAAAGTTCTTGCTTTCAGTGTCCGATTTGTCGGGCGGCGGGCAGAGTGACGCCGGACGGTGGAGCGAGTTCGGTGCGGGGGTGCTGCCGACGTTGGGGTTGGCATTCCCGTCTATCATATCCGACTCCGAGGCGTCCTGGTGAGGTGCACCACCACCGGAGCCACTTACGGCGAGGCCTTGCCTGGAGGACGGCAGTGAGGGCATTCCTCCTCGCACCACCACCGTGGGACTCTCAGGTCGGTCCTGCGACCTGCTTCCTTTATACACCACTATGCTCGGTACTGGAATCATCAAGCGCACGTAAATCGCGATTACATTGCTCTCCCGTCCCAGTCCCAATTTTCTTGGCCGATTTGGAAACGATCTACTCTCAACAAAAATGTCAAGCCATTGCTAAAAGCTAGAAGAAGGCTAGATTGCCTTTTCAATCTTTCGATTTTTTTTTAAATCGCACACTGTTAAATTCGTAATGTTAAATTATATTTAATTTGAGTCATTTTAAACTATTCTTATAGGTCGTCATTACTCCTACTTAACATGTCGTTAATTTAACTAAAATAATGTTAATTTAATTAAACCAGTGAAGCTAAAATAATACTGTTTTATGTTAAAATAATAAATTTCGACATACATGATAGTTAAAAATAACAAAATGTTATTTAACTCAAAGTACTGATTTTAAATTTCATTCTTCAATATTTAACAGTACAGCACATTTGTGGCTGAGCTTTAAATTAAAATTTGATTATGAAAGAAAACGCGAAACTAATTAAAAAATACAATTACGTCATTCATTTTTTTTTCATACTTAATTGCTGATCATAAAATTATAGATGCTTGGTGCATTTTTGCTGAGAAAAAATCGATTTCAAGTCGATCGAAGAATTTGCAGTGAAAGAAACATCCGATTGTTCCGACAGGTCAATACGTTTTACTTATCGCTTCTTCGTATTTTATGATCTAATATATAATTCTCTATATTAATGGTTTTAAATAAAAAAGTGCAGAATAAGCAATTTGTAATCGTCGTTCGAGCGCGTAACTAGAAGCAGTTTAATTAAGAGCTGCAGGTGATATTTCTACAGCAGAATTTATCAATCTCTAGCATTAATGAACGATGAGATTCCTCTCATTTCCGACGTGCTCTCACGCGACCCTACCGTCCCGTCCCTTCCCAGTATAAACGTATGTGTACGTGTGAACCGTTTTCCGCGATGTCGGACGCGGAAATAAAGCAAGACGAAAGACTCTCCGCGAGAATGTCGAGGACACTTGTGAAAGAGACACTTACTCTCCAGGCGAGCCATGTGTTAAATGTAGTCATGGGGTTACAGTGCAGTACACCCTGCAACTGGTGGGGGTTTCAACATACACACGCGCGGGTGCGACTAGCAGTTAGTATGTGAATCTTTCGGGTGGCGTGCAGCACGAGGGGCTGATACTAGGTGCCAGATCACTGCACGTCCACCTTCCGACATCGTATATTCTGTAAGCAGACACAACAACGCTCGTAACGCTCTCATTGCGGACAACGTAAACGTTCGCTCAAATTTAATAATTTTTGTCCATAATTTGAATATTAAACTTCGCCTCTATCCCTCTTCGGGATACAAAGAAGAAAATGAGCGCGCGCGAGGAATAAATTCGTACCGCGCGAGCTTAATCATTCTTTCAATCGGTCACTCTTATTCGATTCGCAGAATCTAATCTGGGATATCTGCTCAACCTTGAAAACCAATTCCCTGGAATTCTCCGATCCTTCAGACATTTTTCGTTAAAATTTTCAGTTAAATACTTATACGTATTTTATCCGAAAGGGATAAAGGTGCCCGGTTCTTCTTTTCTATTTGTAAAATCATGAGGAAAAAATTACTCGAGGCATCTCGGATCTGAGAAAGTATTAAAAAGGGCGGAAGAACACTCATAAAATAGGCATAAAACTTTCAAGAAGTCTAATAAAAAAAAAGTAAGACCGTGAACAAAGAAAAATATTAACACTTAAATATTAAAGGGATCGGTTAAAACAAACTTATCTCACGACACAAAACTTACGTAGTGCTTTCGCGTTGAAAAATGTAGTTCTCCTACTCGCGAAACAAAAACAAGTTTTCGCGAGGACCGTTCCGATAAAAAAGTTTCCCGAGAATTCCAGATTTTTTCCAGGTGGCAAATGTCCCCCGTTAATATATCGCGCGGATGCGATAGCGACGCCGTGTATTTTTACAATTTATCGCACAAATCTTCCGAAGGTAGTCACGCCATTGTTAAATAATTTCGTTACTGCTACGACAATTGTTACCTGTTGAAAGAATAAATGGGCAAAATTTTGCGATTATTACGTAGGAATCTACAGAGGAGAGAACGGTTTGTTATTTAGATAGAAGAGAAGTGTCACGTTGTCGTCGTATCTCTTTATGCAAAGAGATAATTATTACGTAGCAAAGGTATAAACGTTGAGCTATGAATCACGAGCTTCTATAGGTCAGCGTTACACCATGAGTCATTTATTCGCGCGACGTTATTGGATTATTAAATAATGGAGCCGCTTCCATAATGATGCGCGTATGGCAATACACGCGGCAGATAGAAAAATATTCATCGGTGGGTTATAAGTTATTACGCATCATTATCGTGCGTAACGCGATGTTATTACGGAAGCAGCTTTACCCGTGACGTTTAATCGCGTTACGAAGTTAACTGTCCCGTGAAATAAACAAATGTCACATCGGGGATAATTAGCGCTAGTTAATGCACGATGTTTTCCCCCTCCCACCCGCGCGTTTCTAGAATTAATAACCCGACCGTGTGGGTGGATGCTTCAATATCTGGCAAATTGCCTCGGATTGCCGATGTAATAGCTGTGTAAATAACGTGATAAATATTTCGCGCATGAACAAAATGAGCGTGTTTTGCACGAGTGATAACGCAGGCATCGGCATGCTCTCGCAGTTGTTAACCATCACACAGAATATTATTCATCGCTCTCTCTCCATTAGGTAACGTCTAATTCGCGCGATCTAATCACCGTGCGGGGGCCATTATATCGCCGATTACAGCTAGCAGAGATTACGATCGTTCTTTACGTAGCCGACGAAATCTCCGTTAGCTGCATAATTAAAGCTCACGGGAAAACGACGCGTAGCGAGACTCGACAAAAATGCTGATTGCAACGAAAAGGCGGAAAGCGGATAATTATCGATCTCGCGATTCGCATACATGAGGCAAGCCAGGCGACTAAGAATAACTCTCTCTCTCTTTCTCTCTTTCGGTCCAACGAACCTCCAGTTAAATTCGGCAGTCTCCATAGCGGCTAATTGCGAAAGCGCACGTATCATCGCGTTAAATTTAAACCGGAAATGCGACTGCGGCGTTCCGCGGTGCTCGTGCCACTCTTCCTCCACGCTTCTGCCGCATTCCTCCTCGCGACGCGGATAAATTTATCCTCCATTCTCGGCGACGACGCGCCGATCACGAGCCGCTTTCGATCGCCATCGATCAGCCGCGGCTCGCATCTTTCCTCAGTGCTCTCTTTCTTTCTCTCTCACTCTCTCTCTCTCTTCCTCTAGTTTTACTTTTTCTCTATGTCTTTTTAATCGACGAAACAACGTCCCGTTCGTACTCAATGACTATTGATCGCCATGCACATCGCTCATCCGTTCCCGCTTCCTCCCATCGGTCGTTTTCATTCAGCTCAACTTTTACTTGTTCCCCCCTGGTCGCATCACATCGATCGACTCGATTCTTAGTGTTTACCAGCGCGACTGGCTCGCGTATTCCTCGTAATTCTCTTCTTCTTCTCCGATACCAATGTTATCTCGAGTGCCTGAAGTGATTTCGCGGGGTACGATCGACCGTCCGCGTGCGTTTTAGCGATCCGAAAGTTGTTCGTCGATCTGTAGAGCGCGAAGATCCACGGATGATAGATTTTTCCTTTCTCAGTCTCTTTTCATCGGTTGTCCGGCTGTTATCGCCTGAAATACCCCCGAGTCTCGCTCGTAAAAGCGACCGCGAGATATCGTCGTCGGAACGACCTCCGCCGCGAGCGGGAAGTATGATGATCACTGGAAAAGGCCCACCAGAGACGTGGTACGTCGATGATGGCTCCGTTATGGCAAGAAACGCGTCGGTCGTCTCGGGATCACGGCCGACCATCCAATTTCCCGTTCCAGTCCGTGGCGATCTGGTTGTCTCCAACGATATTAAACAACGGCTTTACTCCGGGCGTGAGATTAATTAACCAGAAACTATCGTCGATCGGATTAAACCAGAACTACTATCGAGGCAAACCTAAGAGAATAACTCCAGATTATCACAATATTCAGATCTCCTTATCGTTGATCGTCGGGACATCGCGGAATGTTCAAACCGAACAGAAAGGGTTTACGGTCGGCAACGAGCTCCGGATAACCGCGATCGCGCTACTCGACGGATCGATCGGCGATCCCGGGTTCGGACCCGATCCGAGCGGAAATGCGGGCTACCGCCGCGACCTTCCGGCCGCGATTCTCGCCGTCCGCGGGTCGAGGAGGGCACGTTTTGGCAAGACCTCGCGGCGTCTCGAAAATAGCAGAACGCTTCTCTCTCTCTCTCTTTCTTTCTCTCACCCTTCCTTCCCTCTCGTTCCTTCCGCGCGCGTTCCTTGTGCGCGCGGGAGATCTGGTGCCGTCGCACGTTTCTCTTCCGTGTGTCGTGCTCGTGTTTCCGCGGAATTCACGAACGGAAGCGCGATCCCCCTTCAAGCAAGACAGAAACGGACGACGGAGGTGCGAGTGACGGAAAACGGAAGGTGCAAACGAGCGACGCCGACAAGAGGAGAGAACCTGGATCAGCTGCAAGCTCTGCCGAGCTTGTAACGTCGCGTCGCTGCGGCACCGCTTTGCGCGAGAGACTGAGAGAGAGGCGCGCGCGACGCGCGGCTCACCCGGGTCGAGAGAGAGCGGCGAGGGGGTAGCTGGCACTTCGGAGGGAACGAGAGCGTCGAGAAGCCAACGAGAGAGAGAAAGAGAGAGAGAGGGAAAGAGAAGGAGAGGAGCAGACGGAGCGAGTCGGTAGCGCGAGAGAGACAGAAAGAGAGAGAGGCAAAATCCTTACGAGAGCGATGGAGACAGAGGATCTCGATGAGCGATGAGGGGATGAAGACGGAGACGTCGCCATTACCGGGGGACATCATCGAGGAAGATGCAGAGACAATAGGGGGAACAATAGGGGGGCAAGAGCGATCGGAATGATCGGAAGGAGATGGAGAAGCGCGGAGAACGGTGGCGGAGAACGGAAACAGGTGATAACGGCCGAGAGAGATAAGAAAGGGATGAGGGGAGATGGGATGTATATTGGCCGAGTACACGCGTGCGCGTGTCCATGTGTACCCGGTGTACACGAAGAAACCACTGATCTGGGGAACCCCGGGTTGGTTTCGAGCCTGGGAATTATTTCGGCGAAATGTAAATATCTCCTCTCTGCGGCCATCGTTCATTACACGAGAGTGTCTACTTACCGCGAAAAAAAAAAACGGAAAAGCTCGCGTTTCTCTCCAAGGCAACAATGTACACACACGCGCGCGCGAAACAAAAGCGGAGCTTCCGACGATATTGATCGGGCGATCGTTTTGACAATGGTTTTTGGGGAAAACGAGCGCCGCGGCGAAATCGGAGTCGGCCCGATGAAATCGGACTCATTGTCGCGCAATAACCATTTGTTGTTCGAGTGACGGATCAGGTGAAACCTTTCCGATAAATGTTAAAGGTATCGCGCGCGTTCTCGGGGGCAATGTAGTTTACAACGTGGAAGTCTGTGTTTGCTTTAAGCTCCAGACTATCGGCGGGCACTCGAGCTAAAGCCCTGTCACAATCATGTTTTACGGTATTTGCCGGCTGTCAATAGATTCCCCGCCTCGCTGAGAGACGGACGTTACTATCGCGGCTTCTTTTTTTCTCTTTTTCTCTCTCTCGTTACAGTCGCGATACGCGAGATTGAAATAGTTTTTGTATTTCGCACGCAAACGACAACGTCAACGTTATTCCGCGAATTTCGCACTCTCAACTGCGAATTTAAACAAAATTAATAAATAAATTGGAGGCGCAAACCCGTTCTCCAAATTCTTATAATTCTCGAATTTTAATCGAGAAAGAGCCGACCTTCGCGGCCGGCATTCTCGCAACGTCCCATTCAATCGTTAATCGCTGAGAAACGGCGAAAGCGGGGTGAGAAAACCTTCTTGCCCTACATTCGTGAGTTGGCTGCTCCCGTGAACCAGTGCACAGTCGGCACGCGTGAAGCGTGTGCGCGCGCACGTGCAACCGAGTGCGAATGGTGTCTATGACCCATATAACACGCCCAAGCGTAACTAGGTCGTGCACCCCTGTGTTCCCTGGAATAATACAGGGTGTCCCGCTCGAAAAAATATGTCAGGGTGTATCGATTCGCGGGAGTCGTATGCGTACGATCCGGTCTAAAAAAAAAGCCTCGCGCGAACAAAAAGCGAGAAAGAAAGCGCGGCACTGAACAAGCTTGGTAGTAGATCGTTACGTTATCTAAATTAAGCCCGAATAAAGAAAGTATTAATATCGAATAGGTAAAGTTGCGTCTTCGGATGAGTCGGGATGAGGTGACATCCCGGAAGATGTAATTAAAAATTTTCTCCGCGAGCAGAGCTTAAATTACCACATATCGATCGCCGTCGACGACGTAAGAGACGGTATCTCGGACGGTATCGGAGTCGGATATAAAGGACAATATTGTCCCGCGCGAGGTTGATTCTATCAGGATCCGTAGGACGCGAGTGGGAGGCGCTCAGTTTACCAACGACAACATCCCGGTTTTCCCCGCGCAAATATCTTCCCTGTGGACCTAAAAACTCCCTGTGATAGAAATCGATCGCAGGCGAGAGCGACCGCACGTTTACGCGACGCGGGCGGGAGAGAGGAAGAGAAATAAACGTGATTTCCCGTCTGTCGCGGGAGGTGAAGTCCGTGATTAATTGGACACTGGATAATTCTGTCGCGATTAATAACCGACAACGCCAAGGTGTTCGTCGAGATAGTCTTTCGAAAAAATGCGTCGTTTTCGACAAAATTAAAAGTAATACTTAATCTCGGAAACAAAAGGAATAGTTATAAATTTATATAGTGTCCTAAATCTCACTAATCTTCCTATATTTACGAATTTTTTAAGCGACGTGGAGTCTTCTTTAAAGAAAACTCGAGTTTCTAAATCGCTCGAAAACTTGAGAGATTTTAGTTCGTCACAAGTTTTTTGTCATATCCTTCAAACTAATCGTCATGTTAAATTAATCCATCAAACTATGTAAAGCCCATTTTCGGAATTAACGAAGAATAAAAGTTTATCCATTCGCACTTCTGAAAACACCTTCATTTTCTATCACTTTACGAACTCTTGGTTACAATGTTTCTTGTTAAATAAGAGTCAAGTTCAAGTTCGATAGATCTGACATAATCTACCTCTACTACAATAATCAGAAGAGAAAGTTTTTACTGTGTAACTAATGTTCTTAATTATAAATGAATGAAACAAAAAATACCTAAACATTTCTATTATTGGTCGCTCATGTATCCTGTCTGCCAATTCTTTCCTCGCTTAAAAAGTTCAGTTGATCTTCTGAAACAATAAACGTCTCAAGTGCAAGAAAGATTACTTGAAAATAAAAGATATGACTCTAATAATATATTATTACTGTATTTATTACCGTAAATACCGAGATATCTAACAGTAACATCACATTCTCCTCGAAACGTCTCTACACGTCGGCGGATTCGCCGGCAGAGTTAGCGGCACCTAATTCCGAGGTCTAACCCAATTTCCGCGGGATGACCTAGGGTGCAGAGATACACGGGAAAGCAGGCAGAGAGCACAGGCACAGGTACGACAAGATATTCCGCAGGAGGCGTGGGATGTATCCGCGGGATGGAAGAGAGAGCGAGAGCGAGAGGCTTTAGAGGCCGTCCCGTCAGGAGAGGGAAAGGCGTAGGCGGAGGAGAGGGAAGGGGTACCCCGTTCAGTTTTAGCGATACCAGTCCGATGCACCCCCTTGTCGCCATGGAAACGACCTACTCTCCCTGGACGGACGCGCATCGGGGCACCCTCGCGCGCACAAGTTAAACATTCGAATAAGGATATCCGCTCGGGCGCCCTTTGAACTCTTCCTCCTACACCCCGTCCCGATCTCTCGCAGCAGCCGCTGTGTGACTCGGACCGTTATATCCGGACCAACCCCGTATTTAACGCCGGCGGCCACCTGTGGATAAATACTTGATACTCTGCTCGACTGGCTACGAGAAACTCAACGAGTCCAAATGCGGTCAAAATGTTGCTCTGCGAGCAACCCCCTCGGTCTAAGTTAGAGATTTGTCGATTCTTCGCGTCGATTTTCCCCCGTTTCTAAAGTTTCCGCGGAAATCTGCGGAACTTTCGGATCTCAGACGAGCGGCGAGCGCGTCAACCTACGAAATATACATATTTCAAGAGCAACGACACGACGGACGCGTCGTGCGCATCCGTTTAAAATTGGTGCGACCGTTTGTTTTGCAATGATCATTCGACGCGACAACAGCTGTGTCTCGGCATTGTCTGCTCGAAGATTACGAAGTGCGTAACGCGCGTCGGATGTCGTCACGAAACGAGATGAACGGTCTTGCCTTCGTTCCAATTTGCAGATGCGCGCGCGCGTCTCGCTCTTGGGACGAGAAAGAGAGATCTGAACGATACGTTGCAGACTCCAACGAGATATCGCGACGTATATAATATACTTTGATACACAGTTGTCCAATTAGAGCGCCGCGCGCACTGCCAAAAGCAAGCTCGTGGCACGTTCCCCCCAAAATATATAGCTGACAGTTAGAAAATCCGGAACGTCTCCAAATTGTTCTGTCCACGAAGGATCTACGAGGCCGAGAGGGTAGATGACTCATGCCGTAAATTCGCGCGAAACATCCCGCGAAAAGAACTTTCAGCAAAGGGGACAAATGAGACAAAACGCGGTCTAATCACTTCTACTCAGGTCACCCGTTATAGCGGTCGAATACTCGGATACCGACCTGGGTTGCTGAACTCCATGACCCATATATCGGCAAATAGGTCAGAGAATAAACGACGAAGACATTTACGGAGCTCATCCCCCGCGACCGGCACTGCCTTTGTGGGTAGTCCGCTTTCGGTTTTATGGAGAGCTTCGTGTTTCGGTCCGATCGTAAATAACCGTAGAAAACCCTCATGGTTCTCACGTTTTCATCAATTCCAGGCCGAGTTCCACCGGAAATTAAACCGGCAACGAATAAAATATAGACGAAAGTCCGTCACCGGACAAATCACCGAGGATGAGGAAGTTATTTGTTCCGTCGAAATTTTATGAAACGCGCGAGTTTTACGAAGAAATCCCCTTAGCTTCTCTGACGCGAATAACCCCCAGTACTTTCCGCTGCAAAAAGGATTAAAACGACTCGTTCGGCCGTGTCGTTCCAATAACAAATGTGAGACGAGATTGTGAACAAGTTGTGGAACGTGAACGTGTTGATGTCATCTTTTGCTCGACAATTTTCCGCGACAAACGAGAAAAAAAATCGAGTTTCTTGAATGTAATCCAAGCGTGATTCTGTCAGAATTCTACAAATCCAACGTCCCTTGAGAAAGCAATTTACGAACAAAACGAAATGTCATCCTATATCAATAATTACATTCTCGGTTAGTTTAGAGATCGATATTATACTCGCAACATAAGACACACATATTTCTCTCTCTAATTACATATTTAAATATTTTTATTATATTGTTATGTATTAGGTTAATACATGTATTACCATCTTTATGGGTTAAAATATAAAAATGCTGCATTTTAGGAAAAATAAATTTTATTTTATTCAAGA